CACACACACACACACACACACACACACACACACACACACACACACACACACACACACACACACACACGTGCAGAAAGAGTCATTTCCCCCTTTTGGACAGTTGGCATCCTGACCCGCTTAATACCTTCAACAGCAGTTTGTAATGCATAAGAAAATCATGAGAGGTTTTCCTGGCAGAGCAGTTCAAGGCATTGCTGCAGATTAAGATCACTTATAAGTTCAGCTGAAGAGGGCAAGGATGGGTTGGCAGCCTGCGACTTCATTTCACCCTCTGCTTGCAGCTCTGACTTTGCCACCTGGAGAAAAGTTGTTCAAAAGACAGACCTGTGGGTCATTTTCACTCTGGGTTCAGGCTGGGGCCCAACACCCAAACGGCATTGGTTGCAATTCTCATGGAGTTTTGGAGGGTTTGTGATAGACGGGGTACAACCGTTATGTATTTTCTAGACCTCTCATAAGGTTTCAAATCTATTCCATAATGTTTCTGGATCTGCTGTGGGGACTGGAAATGGGAGGCAATTTATTATGGTGGTTCTATTTCCAGAACAGGGGGGAGGGAGCTATTTTCCAAAGCACCTGAAGGCCAGAAAAGAAATAATGGATGGAAACTGAACAAAGAGAGATTCAACCTGGAAACCAGGAGATATTTTCTGACAGTGGGAGCAAAAGTTGCCTTCAGAAGTTGTTGGAGCATAATCACTGGAAGATTTCAAGAAGAGACTGCCGGCTGTCAGAAACGGTGTAGGGTCTCCTGCCTGGGTGTGGTGTTGGACTAGATGACCTACAAGGTCCCTTCCAACTCTGTTAAATCCCTATTAGCGGTTCGCCTAAGCACTGGGATAAGGAGAGATGCCTGTGCATCAGAAGCTTGATTTGGAACCAGCTGTATGTTTAAATTTATTAAATTTACATGCTGCTAATCCTGCAGTGAACTACCCCCGTTTAATTCCTTGCAAGGTGAAAGATAATGTTTTCAGCAAGAACGGCAACAGGTACAAACTTAATTAGTAAACCAGGTTACCTTCTAAATTGAACAAAAACAAGAACCACCTTTTTGCGACTGAATGATCATCCAAATGCCATCATCGTTGCTAAGCAGGCCATGTACTGTATTTGCAGGGCAAGTACATGTTAAATGTGGAAACTTTGCACTTTGCTATACATATATTGGGTTGATTAGTTTTTGTATTAAGGTTTTATTAGATACATACATACATACATGCTTGGGTCCTGTATTCTGACACACATAGGGGCGGGGGTGTGTGTGTGTCCTGCAATACCTGGTACAATGTAAGGGATATCCCCTGTAGGAGGCATCCTGGGTGAGGAGTCAGGATGTAAGTGCTGCACATTAGTGAGACGGTTCCACCAGTAGCACCCTCAAAAGTTAGTGGGGATATAAGCATTGGGGCTAAATGTGGCCTTTGTTTACCTTCCAGATACCATCTGCATGGTAGAGAGGAGCCACCTGTCAAACCCTGAAACGGCAAGTGTCCAGCAGGCCGCCTCGAGGTTGCCTTTGGGGGGGGGGGGCTCGCCATTCAGTGGGGAAGCCAGGTTAGTGTGGGAGGCAGCAGGTGGTGAAGTGGGCCAATGATCAGCTGGAGAATCTGAACTGATCAGCTGGAGAGCTCGAGTGCCGATTAGCGGGAGGTTCGGGGAACTGGTCTACTGACAAGCCAGCTTGAAAGCAGGTAAGCCGCCAGAAAGACAAATTAGGCTTTTTGGCTCTTCATGTCATCAGCAAGCTGTGGGACAGGGCGGCTGCATACCGCCCTGTTCCACAGTGGAACTGTGGAAAGAGTTCCACCACAAAACCGCAAAGCCCTTATCCGTGCCGACATAAGTGCGGAGGCAAATCCGCGTCGTCCGAAGCACTAAGAAAAAAACGACCCTACCGTGATGACATAACCGCGGAGGGCAAATCCACGCCTACCGAAGCACCCTAAACCTAACCCTAAACCTAACCCTAAACCTAGGGGCTCACAAGCGGGGCGGCGATGCGCGGCAGAGGCAGGACGCCATCTTCTTCCTCAACAACATCTCCTTGGATGGGCGGCGGCCGCCGCCGGGCAAGCCCACTTCGCCGGCCCCAGAAGAGCCTCAGCCGCCACCACTGCTGCGTCCTCCTCCGCTGCCGGGGCCTCCCCCGGAGGAAGAGGCAGGGCGGGCGGTGTCGGCAGAGCCCACGCCCCGCTTGCTGCTGCTGGCCCCGCTCGGCCCCCCCGCGGGCTTCCTGCTGCCCCCCGCAGCTGAGCTGGACCCTTCCTGTGGGCTGCTGCTGCTGGGCAGCCCACTTTGCCCCATGCCTGCTGCCGCTGTCAGCCCGGCCGCTCTGGCGGGGGTCTTGGTAGCCCTCCTCCTCCAGAAGCAGGAGCTTTAAAATCGGCTTTAAAGC